TTTTTTTTCCCCATTCAAAAGAGATATGTGCCTTTAAATTCTTTTCTATCCATCACAAGTCATTGTGTAGGGTTAACTGTGGTAAAGTGCTGCTTCCTGATGTCATGTGTTTAAGTGTTTGTCCCCTTTTCTCACCTGTAGGGCTCCTTGGTAATGGCCAGTCTAAGGGATTAGGACCAGCATCAGAACAGTCAGAGAATGAGAAGGATGATGCATCCCAAGTGTCCTCTACTAGCAACGATGTTAGTTCTTCAGATTTTGAAGAAGGGCCGTCGAGGAAAAGGTTAGTACCCAAGGCTGAAAGTATTGGTGCCTTAAATCAGGGACTGCAAACTAGGTGCCAGTTTTTGCCACATGGAAACAAACTTGGGCCCATTCATGCAATCTCCTGATTTTTCATAGAGGAGTCAGAGTTCTGAATTTTTATATTAAATGTCCTGGTTTCAAAATATGGTCCACTAATTATATCTAAAAATAAATACACAGAAAAATGGTATGGGCCAAATAAAACATGTTATTGTCATAAAAATTGGCCAGAGTCACCAATGTGTAATTCTTGTATTCATATAAAAAATATATTTATTTTTATTGATTTTAGAGAGGAAGGGAGAGAGAGAGAGGGATAGAAACATCAATGATGAGAGAGAATCACTGATTAGCTGCCTTCTGCACACCCCCTACTGGGGATCAAGCCCACAACCCACGCATGACCCCTGATGGGGAATCAAACCGTGACCTCCTGGTTCATAGGTCGATGCTCAACCACTGAGCCATGCCAGCCAGACCTGTCTTGTGTTCATTTTAATAGATTTTTATCAGTAGTATTTCTTGAGTATATTAGATGGTATTTTGCCATTCCTGTACAGAAATGTTTCTAAGAATTTGAAGAATTAAATGTGTGTCTGAAAATTTCCCCCCCTCATCTGGAAAGCAAAATCCATATGATGTTTAATCAGGTTAGTAGTTGTGGAATAGGTTCTTAAACTTTGAGTTTACTAGCAGTTTTCTTTTCTTTTTTTTTTTAATTACTTTTAAAAATAAACTTAAGATGGTTGGATAAGGAAGTTAGCTGTGTAGCTAAGAGTTTGTGGTTTCATGGTCAAACAATGGCAGTTACATTATATAATGACTAGAGGCCCAATGCATGAAGATTTGTGCAAGAATGGGCCTTCTTTCCCCTGGCTGCTGGCACTGCCTTCGCTCTGGCCAGAGCCGCCTTTCCAGCTTCATTCAGGCCCAGAGCCACCTTTCCACCTTCCCATGCTGCCGAGAGGCCCGGAGTGGCTGGGGCAGTGCGGAACGCCTGCGTTGTTGCCATGGTGATGATGCAAGGTCCCACCCCACCCCCAGCCACTTGGCGCCTGTGTATGCAAATTAACCCATCATCTTTGTTGGGTTAATTTGCATACTCATTCCTGATTGGCTGGTGGGCGTCACAAAGGTATGGTCAATTTGCATCTTTCTCTTTTATTAGCGTAGATGCTTTTAATTGGGTGTTTTAGAAACCCTTTTGGTAGTTATCTGCTTTATTTCATATCTTCTGTGTTGTGTCC